TCCTTTGTTGTTGCGTTGCGGGTGTCCATGGGCGACACCGATTGCTTACCATCAGGTAATTCGTCTGATCGTTTGCCGACTTAAACCACAAAAAAAAAAGATTACATAATCTAACTATATTGGAATATTATTGATTTTAAATACTAATACATGCGTACAAATGTTGTGGTGATCCGGAGGCTAAGGAGCCCGCTTCTCATGCATAAGGGTGTGGGTTCGAAACCTGGCAAGTAAGTTCCAAGATTACTTAGACACCACTGACATACGGTGAAGGTAAACATCGTAAAGAAACCTGGACCTATATACTATGGACCCTAATTGTAAGTTTGAAATCGCCAACCCGCATTGAGCAAGCGTGGTGATTAATGCTCTAACCTTCTCCTTGAGAAGAGGCCTTTGCTCAACAGTGGGCACTTATAGGCTGATGATGATGATGATGACATGTGTACATATTTGAGCTACACGTCTACATAAAATACGACAATTTACATCACTAAAGATCATACCACTACTATCATCCCACCTTTAAAAAATCAGGATCCAAAGAGCGTAGGATCCGCGTCCTAACTAAACAGTCAAAAACCACGCTACCATTTACCTGGTCATTCTATACAAAAGCGTGTTGGAACAAAACCTTATTATTTACAACATTGATAAGCTTAGGCTGAACAGCGAAACTCCTCAAACGATCGATTTAAAAGCAGATTAGCAACGCACGCAAGTTGTTTTCGTGTCGTGAGGTTGGTAGCTCCGTGACCTTCGCGCGTATTTTACGCGGGGAACTGAATAAGGTAATTTGTAAGTACCTATGTATGTTGGTACATAAAGCAATGATATTTTAAGTAAAATGGTGTAGATAGGTTACTTAATCAAAATTCGAATTTCAAAAACGACACACTGATACACACATGAACAATTCGTATGTTTAGACTTCAAAGTGGGATGGCATGATTCAATAATCGCGAGTGAAAAAGAGACAAATATGAAAGTGTGGCTAGTTAGCCATATTTTAATGTAGCACTTGCTGAGCGCTTGTAACCTATCTATACCTTTTTACTTATAATATCATTGACATAAAGGCAAATTTTTATTCGATGTGGATGCTTATACATTAAAAAAGTATATATGACTGGCGGAACAATGGCTGCGGAAGTAGCTGCTTTGCAACGTGTCGCGGATTCGATACACACGGAACATTTCTTTGTGTGATCTACAAATTTTTGTTTCGTGTCTGGGTGGCTTTGTGTATGAATTTATAAACGCACCTAACTACACAGAAGAAAACCCTAGTGCGGCGCAGCATTAAAAAAAAGACATTAACCAGCTACTTTTTTTGAGGGGGTAATACTTCTATCTTCAAGCCCTAGAGGTGGGGCGTGTCAGGCTTTTCCTCAGATTACTTCTCGCCCAGGAAGAGCCGAGAGGTCAGACTCTCTCTGACTAAAACCACCCCGTCTAGGTCGAAGCCGCGGTGCTTTATTACGCTTGCCCCGCAAACCCGGCTGAAAATCGAACCTATAGAACCCCGTCTGTGGTGGTCTATTGGCTCTTTGAGGCGCGCGCGGAACACTACTCGCCATACGCTCGGGTCTGGTTCTGGTCGGGCGGCGAGCTACCCGTATTCGCCGTCCAATTGTGCTTCCACCTGCACCTTTGGCTGGATATTGATTGGTTACTTAGCTGACTAACAAAAGAAAAGTTATTTTTATCCAAGAAAAATTATCAAGTGTCTTTTGTTTTTCTCCGAAAAGGATTAATAATGAGTTCGAACCACATTTTCCTGTTGTCGAATCGTGGAGTTTTTTACAATGCGGGTACCCGCATCGTTACACTGTTTTAATGATATAGAGGTACTTTATATGCACGTTTGAGAGATATTTCACTTAAATACTAAAAAAAATACTCTAAATGTTTTGTCCGCTAGAGGACGCCAAATCACCTACATTTTGTGACACACCATATAGCCTATAACCATCGGAAAATTAAAACGTTTCTAATGATATGTTATTTGTCGAATCCTGACAAGTAGTTTAGAAGTTACGAGGGAACAGATGAACATACATACAAGCATACAAAACCTGTCAAAATCATAACCATCCTTTTGCTTTGCCGGAGTCGGGTAAAAACCACCCCATTCCATTCACTAGCACCGCGACCTCGGCAGAGCAGCAGAAGGAACAGGGGGCTTTTTAGTCAGTAAGAGTCTGACACTCCCTTCCGCCCCACCCTCGGCGGGAGAAGTCATGTACATGATTTTTCCAACACAAAAAAAGCACCCGCGACCCCGGCCATATCTTAACCTCCGTGGTATTAAGACAATGGCACAATAAAACCATGCAAAACAATAGTAATACATTTTTAATATACTTTTTGTACTATAATTAATAAACACATAATTTCAATGTTACGTGCCCACCTGTGTCCACCATTATTAAATAGCAATCATTGTAAGAACTCTATTATAAAATACTAGCTACTCCGAAGGTTTCATTCGCTGCTCGGCTCCATTTGATAGTAGCGTGATGTTTTATAGCGTAGCACTCAGGAACATTGTAGCTATCTATCAGTGAAAGAATTTTGGCAATCCATCCAGCGGTTCCAAAGATTAACCCATACATACAAACTTACAAATTATACCTCTTTATAATATTAGTATAGTTAAAGAATATTTAAATCAGTGTGATTTTAAAACTTTCATAGCTACGTTATTGGCGGTACGAAGTTCGCCGGGTCAGCTAGTAATAATATAATTCTGTATTTGGCTCACCAACAATTGAGTACACTTGAACAATTATGGGTTTTACTAAATCAATTAGAGTCTAGTGTATCAATCTCTTACAGGTAATGGAATGCTTTAGACTAAGGGCTGATTTTTCAATAGTCAGATAAATGTTATCTGAGGAATAAAATTGTTGCTGTCACTGTCTTATACAAACATTCTGACGCGACAGCATCATAATTATTACATAGGTAACTTTTATCTAACCATTGAAAAATCAGTCCTATAAGTATAAAGGATATTTGATGCACACAGAAAAACCAGGCTCTTAAGGTCAAATTAAAACGAAAACTTGGAATAAAATAACGCTAAAATAAAAATGTGGAAATAATAAAATTATAAACAAGATGCTTAATTGAATTTAATAAAGAATATACTTTTTATTTTAAAATTTCGTGTTAGACTGGAGTGCTTAAAACATTGGAATGAATTTAGCTATTTACAACAGTTAACTGTAATTCAATCAGATACCGACTCCCTACTCCCGGCGCTCGATACCCGATTCCCGACTCCCCACTTCCGACTTTCGACTCCCGACTCCCGACTCCCGATTCCCGACTTCCGAATGCCAAGAACCGACTCCCGAAGCTTGACACTAGACTGCTGACTTCAGACTCCTAACTCATGTTAGAAAGGTGTTTTCGTATAATATAAATATACATAAACAAACTTTGTAAATTCTCTTCTGGGATCCATGAGTATCTATGTGATTTTGTGGAGGAGCCGACGGATGATGGACACGCCGAAATGATACAAAAGGCACTCACCCGTATTGCATTATTTATACAGCCTGCTGCATTTACTCACATCACATCACACTCACAACATCACAGCGTTGTGTGTAGCCGTGTGATTGCTTACCATCAGGTAATCCGTCTGATCGTTTGGAAATATTTTTTTTATATAATAGGTTGGTAAACGAGGAGATGGATTACCTGATGGTAATCAATCAGCGCCGCCCACGGACACCCGCAACGGAAGAGTTGTTTTAGGGATTAGGGATTGAGTAGGTATTGGAGAAGGGAAGGATTAGGCCTCCGGTAACCTCACTCACACGGCGAAACACAACGCTGTGGTTGTATCACGCCGGTTTTCTGTGAGGCCGTTGTATCACTCAAAGTGGCATTTAATAAAGGCTACATAAGTTTCAGGATAAAAAACAAAACAAAACGTCTATAAAAAATGAGTATATTTACACATATTAAACCTAATACAATATAATAACTTAGAATAAAATACAAAATTGGGAAAGCTCTCCAAAGGATGATTATGATACAAACAAAAAAAAATAACTTATCTTATGTACCAAATATTCTTTTTGATGTCATATGTAGGTCGGCAATCGAGCTGACTGACTGAGTAAGGCAAGCAATCAGCGTCGCCCATCGACACTCGTAATACAAAGGGAGTTACTACAAGTGCGTTGTCGACCTCTTGTGGGTTGTTAAGAATAGGAGATTTTCCGAGCGTACAGCGCGTAGCGTTCCGCGCGCGCCTCAAAGAGCCAATAGACCACTACAGACGGGGCCCTATAGGGCTGATGTTCAGCCGGGGTTGCGGGGTAAGCGCAATGAGGCACCGCGACCTCGGCCCAGAGCAGGAGAAGGAACAGGGGGGTTTTTAGGCAGTAAGAGTCTGACACTCCCTCCCGCCCGACCGTGGGCGGGAGAAGTCATTTGATAATTTTCCCATGACAAAAAAAGGGATAGGGGATTTGAGGATTCAGGATAGGGAGGGGGGAGGATTGGGTCTCCGGTAACGGTCACTCAAACGACAACGTAAGTTTTGTTTTCAGTAATATGTTTAATTCATACTGCTTTGTATATTTGTTTGAACCTCATGTGAATATTCAGGAAAATATGTACAGAAAGCTAAAGTTAATAAAATAATTAATTAACAATAACTTCTCGTATCATGATATAAAAAATATTGGTAGAGAATAAATATGAGTGATTTCATACTAGTCTAGAACTTGATAGGAATTGAAAATCAATATTTAGTTGTATGTACAAAAATTGATCTATACTTTTATACTTAACTAGCGAGTCGCCCCGGCTTCGCATGTGTGCAATACTAATACAAAATTTCTCCACTATTTAATTGACATTATTATACATATAAAATTTCCTCTTCAATCCAAAAAATTTTCTTATTAAAAAACCGCATCAAAATCCGTTGCGTAGTTTTAAAGATTTAAGCATACATAGGGATATAGGGACAGAGAAAGCGACTTTATTTTATACTATGTAGTGATAAAATCAGATGGAATAGTCCCTGTATACTTGGCAGACTCTAGCGGTGTTCCAAACTTTTCTTCTTAATGATTCCATGTTAATTAATTATGTAATTTAACGTATATTAAAGCTAAAATAGTCATGAAGATGCTTCCAACTGTGGTACTTGCCGACGACGCTGAAATAAAAAGAATTATATTAATAAATGACATTTATAATGACAGGTTTTTTTGTCAGTAGAAAATCATCAAATGTCTTCTGCTCTGCGTTAGGGAGTGTAAGACTCTTACAGACTAAAACCCCTCGTTCCTTCTCCTGCTCTAAGCCAAAACTGCGTTGCCTTATTGCGCTTACCTCGCAACCCCAAGAAATATTTAAAGTTGGTTTAAGTACGTTCATATTCTGCCTGATCAAAAATTAATTCAATTATTTTTAGTATCTCGATTTGTATTGGCTCTCCCACGCTTAATAGATTTACTTGAAAAAAATACTTACTGCAAGTATTTAACTCTTCAGAATAGGGATATTCGAAGGAACACTGGCACTGGCTGTTTCTACATTGCACTCGATCAGTAATGTCTTCTAAGAAGCATTCGCTGCTACGCGAACATGTCTCGAACAAACCTAGATTAAAAAAAAAAGAAATAAGAAAAATATCCACTGATCAAAAAATTGACATTTAGTTAATTAGTTCGTTCATTATGTTTGTTCATTCATTCATTCACTCATTCGTTCTCTTATTCACTCACTCATACGTCGTTTGGTGCGTTTTCAAAGATACACATTACACCCAGACCCGGAACAACAATTTGTGGGTCACACGAAGAGAACGAAACAACGTGCGGGAGGGAATTGAACCCGCGACACGTTATGCTTTAGCTGGTCGTCCAGCCACCGCGTCAACTGTCATTCTAATACGTTCTATGATTCACTCCTTCATTCGTTCTATATTTTGCTCATTCACTAATTTATTCACTGATTCTTTTATTCGTTCAGTAACAAACACATTCGGTCTGACATTTCTTCATTTATGCAATCAGTCAAAGACAAAAAGCGTTTCTTACTTTGATTTTAAGGATTGGGAAAGGTAACCTCACTCACACGGCGAAACACAACGCTGTGATTGTTTTACGCCGGTTTTCTGTGAGGCCGTGATATCACTCCGGTAGAGACAACCCATTCGTGTCCAAGCATGACCCACCGACACTTTAATGTTAGGATTTTTTAATTGCATAAGGCGGAAGCCGAACTGGCAAATCGCCTGATAGTAAGTAATCGACGCCAACCATAGAGACCTGTCGTACACTCACTGGCCTTTGAATATTGGGTACCTACATATCCCCTCAGCTGTGGCGGCCATTTTTCGCGATTCGGCGGATCTGTGTAAGCACTTCGTGGGTGGTCCGCGCGATACCGGCGCGTGTGTTTAAAATTACAATATCTCAAACCTTTTGTATGGAAGCTTATATAAAGCTTATATATTTGGAATCGCAAAGAAATAAGCTAACATAAAAAAATGTACTGGTCCAGTTTCAATTTGTAATGTATAATTAATCCTAATTTGAAATCGGTTGAGCTACTATTTTCCCAGTTTGGTACAAAAGTCGTTACAATAGCAAAAATAAACAATTATTTTTAAAAACATTAATTTTCTTCACTTTTATACATATGATTTCACATTAATTAGTTAAAATAAACACTACTCGCCATACATTTTTTTTACAGAAACAAGCTTTAAAAAACGCCTCATTTAGGAGACTACTTTTTAAACGTCTAGTATCTGTCACAAGTGCGTTCTAGAGACTTAAAATGTGAATTTATGCATAGTTCTTGTTCTTTTTCATACACTTCGTGCAAGTTAGAGCAGGAAAGGTACAGATTTACGTCATTAAACGATAAAATAAAGCGACTGTACACAGATCGGCGCTTTTTGACAGAGGACTCCTGGAGTCCGTTCCACAGCTGAGGGGATATTACACAAAAAGTTAGTTTTCATTTAATTGATTGCACAATTAGCGCAGTGTAGTAACGTGACGCGACTCTTTTTGTGATCCACAAATTGTTCCGGACCTAGGGGTGTAGCGTAAGTGAAATTGTATGTTTGAAATACACCCACGACACAGCTGAAAATCCTACAGTAGGGCAACGTTATTAAAAACAAAAACAAAACTAAAAAAAATCTTACCAATCTTTGGCCAACATTTGCCGTCACGAAGATGGTAGCCTTCAAAGCATTCGCATCGTCCATTTTCACATGAACTGGATTCTCCGGTGGCAATTAGGCATTGGGCAGTAACCGAACATGGCGTCACGTGGTTAACTAGGTCTACAACATAAAAATGAGGATTTTTTAACTGCACCTACATTCAGGGCTAATTTTTCAATAGTCAGATAAATGTTGTTATCTGAGGAATAAAATTGTTGCTGTCTCTGTCTTACACAAACATTCTGACGCGACAGCATCATAATTATTCCTCGTCTAACTTTTACCTAACCATTGAAAAATCAGCTCTTAGAAATTTAGGCATACAATATGTCGTCACTAATATCCTACTCAATAAAAATTAAGTAAATGTCTGTACCACAAAACTGGATACTATATAACATAAACATGTTGTACTAAAAAATGTTGTAAATTCATCAAAGCCTAATGACTTTTTTAACTAATTTAAAACAGCTAAAATCTGTGTCCACACCACATGTACCTAAGCATTTTGAAACAATATCACTCAAAACAAGAACAATGATTTAATGATTTGCACACAAAATATTCAACATTACAACCTTATTTATGTTAGGTTAAAATATAAAAAAGTACTTTTAGTTATCAGATTAGAATAGTAATTCGGTAAAACTAAGCTTTAGGGTTGAATTTCAATGGTTATGTACAAGATATCTGCGGAATAATTATGATGCTCTCGCTTCACAATGTTTGTATAAGACAGTGACAGCAACAATTTTATTCCACAGATAACATTTATCTGACTACATATTAAAAAAAACAGCCCTTAAAGATCTAACAGTGAATATAGTTTTATTAATTTCTTTGATGAGCTAATTTAGTGTTCAATTCAGTATTTTTGGTGGTATTTTCGAATATGTTTGTTAAGAAACTTGGATTTACAGTTAAAGTATAAGTATGTACAACCTATATGAAAATAAAAGTTAGAATACAAGAGACAGCTTATTTTAAAAAAAAGCAGATGATAGTGCAAGCAATTCTGACACTTACGTGGCCAGCATACGTAGTCATATCCCACGAACGATTCTGAACACTGACACGTGTTGTTCTCTATATCGCATATTGAGTTTTCTGTGATACAATCGTTGTCTTCAACACAACTGCCGCCAATAACTGAAATAAAAAACATAAATAATTATTTTATGTTTTAACAAATAGGGAATAACGATAAGGGGTCTTCTCTATTGACTATTAATTGACTCGACTTCCGACTCCTGACTCCCGACTCCCGATTACCGACGATAGACAATCGACTCCCGACTCCCGACTCCCGACTCCCGACTCCCGACTCCCGACTCCCGACTCCCGACTCCCGACTCCCGACTCCCGACTCCCGACTCCCGACTCCCGACTCCCGACTCCCCACTCCCGACTCCCGACTCCCGACTTCCGACTCCCGACTCCCAAAAATCGACTTTTAACTATCAACTATTGACTTTTTTTTTTTACTTGCAATAAACTAGTGCTTGACTGCGATCCCACCTGATGGTAAGCAGTGATGCAATCGTTGATGGTAAGGCGCACTAGTTTATTAAGAGCCTATATATTCACTCTAGCCTTGAAGACACCTAAATTGTATTCGGACGGAAAGACTGCAGCCGGCAAACTGTTCCAATCCCTCGATGTACGCGGTATAAATGACGAGGAAAAACGTTTAGTCCGGGCCGCATGTGTCTCAACAACGTAAGGGTGGATATTCGCCGTACGCCGGGATGTCCGAAGGTGAAATTGGGATGGCGGAATCAATCGTGTAACTGCCGCCTATCGACTATCAATAATCGATAGTCAATAGCAGATAGTCTATTGACTTTATTGACTATTATTGACTAACATTGTAAGTTTAGACTACTCAAAACTATGACTTGCCAGATGCGCAGGTTCCTTCGAGGGCTTGGTATCCTTCACTGCATGAGCATTGTCCATCTATGCACTCAGTGTGTGGCGTTTCTGTGCACTCGATGGTCATTTGACATGAATCGCCAAGAGCTGAAAATGAAAAATATACAACCTCTTAGTTAAAAGGTACCGGACGGAGTACGGAGACAAATAGATTTTTTTTAAACGTAGAACGTGGTATGTATGATTTGGTTTTAACTTTGACTTTGACTTTGACTTTGACTTTGACTTTGACTTTGACTTTGACTCTGACTTTGACTTTGACTTTGATTTTGACTTTCACATTGATTTTGACTATAACTTTAGTAAGCTGAAATACTTTTTTTATTACTATTTTTTTATTTATTTATCAGGTACCTACCTAATTCTCGAGTTTGTGGCGATAGGTAAAAGTTACTACTTACATAATCCAGTAGTTAGACACAATCCATCGATGTTAGAGTATCCTTCAGGACATGAGCACACACGACCTTGACCACTTTCGTCGACGACACACAGGATATCCATATTGCCGGCCAAGCAATCACTGTCAACTTCACAGCTTTCCCCAATACCTGAAAAAACAAATTTTCTTTAGTATTTATATTCCACCTTAGATCCTCGCTTCCCAACCTGGCGGCGTGTGGAAGATCGGACCTGATCCTGGTCTGATCTGAAGACCTAGAAGCTGCAACCTGGGAAGGAGTAGAGCTACCGGCAGAAATGCATAACATCAGGCCTGTATTTCCAGCTACCTCAAAATTGGCTTAATTAGAGTGCATTTTCTACAAACTCGTATGCTTTATTTGGACTCTTCCTACCGTCCTGTTCTTGTGAGGGGGAATCATAGAATGACTTCTTCCGCTAAGGGTGAGGCGGGAGGGAGTGTCAGACTCTTACTGACTAAAAACTCTCCCTTCTTCTGCTCTGGGTCGAGGCCATTTGATGATATGATGATTTTCCCCTCACAAAATAAAATACCTTCTCCGTGTGAGAAGGTGAGAAGAGGCCTTCGCTTGGGCACTTATAGGCTGATAATGTGAACGACTTACCAGCGAATAATCTGCAAATTTCTCTATCAGCATCCCAGACGGCTTCTTCGGGGATACAGTCACAACTCCTTAGTTCAAATTGACCGGGTTCCCCGCAGCGCGCTGATCCGCCAAAAGTGTGACACATTTCATCCGTAGCACAAGCATCCGTGGGGCGACGAGTTGCTGAAAAAAATTGAAGATTTTAAGTGTGGGAGAGACATGCTTCGGCACGAATGGACCGGCTCGTCCGGAGTCATAGATAAAACCTTAGATAAAACCGACATGAACCACAGCTTTGTGTTTCGTCGTGCGAGTCTGGTTACCGGACTCAATTCTTCTTCGCCCCTCATCCCTTCCCCCCCAATCCCAAAACCTCCAACTCCCTAATCTCCAAAGTGCCGGCAGGGCACTCGCTACTAATCCGTTGTTTCGGATGTCTATGAACCGCGCTGATCGCTTAAAATCAGGTAATGCGTAATGCCCCATCTCCAATCCCCAATCTGAATGGTCTCAAAAAGCCAGCAACACAATTGTAAATCGTCTAGTATTATAAGCGTCCTTGGGTGGCATCGTTTGCTTACCATCAGGTTATCCGTCTGTTTGTTGGCCTCTCTAGTTTTCACATTAAAAAATGCTATAGTTACCTTTGATACAATCCCTCATATTCTCGTTGTAATAGAAGTTTTTAGGACATTTACATATTCCTTCTCTGACTTCAGCTAAAAACCCAACACATTGGTTGTCTGCCGAAGGGGATCCGAGTTCTAAATTGAAAACAAAACAACAACATTAAAACAATAAAAACAAAAACAATAGTAACATTATCTTACGAAAGCGTCTCAAATATTTTTGACGACTTAAATAAAGTGACCAATATTTATTTGGCTACGAAAAATGGAGTTTATAAACCATCGACTTCGAAAAGAAACTGCCAATGAATTAATATAATTGTAATGGACATAGTTAGTTACGCATAATAAAAAGTATAAAAACTAAAACCCAACTACGACAAAAAACGACGCTGAAAAAGTATAGCCACCGCGACTTCTCGTCTTCGCGTTTAACCTGCAACCCCAACTGAACATCAGCCCTAATACGTACCATCTTTTTTTTTTGGGAGTGTCAGACTCTTACTGACTAAAAACCCTCCTGTTCCTTCTCCTGCTCTGGGCCGAGGTCGCGATGCGTCATTGCGCTTACCCCGCAACCCTGGCTGAACATCAGCCCTATAAATAGGGCCCCGTCTGTGGTGGTCTATTGACTCTTTGAGGCGCGCGCGGAACGCTACGCGCCGTACGCTTGGGTCTGGTTCTGGTCGGGCTGAGAGTTGCCTTTACTCAGCTACGGTGGCTGGAGATCGTCCCTTGATCTGCTCGGCTGGGGCGTGAGGAGGAGGATTGCTCACTCACGCGGGTTGCCTCCCTGTTTACGAGCATAACTGCTTCACAGAAGGAGGAGACGACGTCCCAGTTCATTAGGTCCCATCTGTGGTGGTCTATTGACTGACAGAGGGTCTTGGCTGTGTATTTGTGAGTAACAAGGTCATTATAAATTGAATCTTACCAGCTAAACACATAGTGCCGGCTGCATTAGCGTAGTATCCCCTTGGGCAAGCACAGTATCCATAAGCAGTACACACGAAACCATTAGAACAACCATCATTGGAACTGCAAGCTGTAGTATGCACCCTTGCTAGCGAGGTCACGCTTAAACTGGTCGAATTGTTGCTTACAGATTGTGTTTCTCTTTCCATCATTCGAGCTGGAAAAGAGAGGGAAGATATTGTTAAAGTCAAAAGTCAAAAGTCAAAAATCATTTATTTCGATTAGACCACAGTAGGCACTTTTGAACGTCAAGCACGCAAATAGGAAAAAAAGTATATAACAAGAGCTTTAAAATTAAGCGTGTCAGTCGGTAGAGGACAGACGGACATGTCCTCTAGTGAAGCTATTTGCTCGTTCCAAAGTGTAGATTCCTATAGAGAAGAACGAGCAAGAAACTCCATGGTTACTCTTTTTCAATCAGTTTTACAATACATTTCTTTGTTACATCATTTAGTCGGTTCTGATATGTGAGAACAATGTAACACTAATGTTCAGGCAAAAAGTACGAAAAAGAAGTGAACCTCAAGGACAACATAATTAGACAGCCTGGAGCTGACCAGTCCCAATAGGCGGCGCCCGTTCACGAACATGACACGTACACCAGCACCGCCCAACAAAAACCATATTATAGGGAATTGGGCGATCCAGTGCCCGTGCCACCGCCAATGTGACCTCTGAGTGAGCATGACAGCTCCCAGCCGACACAAGTACCTATATTCTACAAGTCTTACTTAATTATAATAGGTTACAGGGCTCTCACATTTACAAAAACTTAGAAGATTTTGTAAAAGATTTTGTTAAAACAGGATAGAGTCAAAGCTTTTATGACAATTCGTCAAACAAATCTGCCAAGAGCCATGATTCGGCACGAATGGATCGGATCGATCGGTTTGATACCACGGTCTCACAGAAAACCGGCATTTAGCGACACTTACATTTGTCCATCATCCTATGCTATAACCAAAAGCAACTTAACTCACACACACTGTGATAAATAATATTTAGATAGGTACTAATATTATAAAGAGGTAAAATTTGTAAGTTTGTATGTAGGGGATAATCTTTGGAACCGCTGGTCGGGTTGCCAAAATTCTTTCACTGATAGATAGCTACAATGTTCCTGAGTGCTATAGGCTATAAAACATCACGTTGCGATGAAATGGAGCTGAGCAGCGGGTGAAACCGCGCGAGAGTAGCTAGTATAATATGTAGCTGTAGCTCTATGAATATTTTAAATGTCTGAAAGAAAATATACAATATACATATATTAAAATCGGCCATGATATGTAAATGCCGGTGGCACTATCTTAATACCTTTAAAATCAAGAGATAAGCACACAGCTATCGGAATAGATTTACATTTTTTTTATTACACGCGATGATTAATTCAATGAATGTATTTTAATTAATCGATAAATTTAAACTAGCTACAAGGATGTTTCGAATGACGAGTGACGAAGTTTTTATATGTAACTATAGCTACTCTCGCGCGTTTTCATCCGCTGCTCAGCTGTGTGATTCTGTAAGACTTCATTCTAAACTTCGAATCTGAATCCGCCGTGAGTAGTAGTACACTAGCGCTACACTTGCGAGTTGAACTAAATTGACAGCAACATTTTGATAGATAAAGTATGAGATGACGTTAAAAGTAACATTCTAAAATTTCATTTCCCCGTCACTTCGGCGCTCACTTCGCACTCGAACAAGATTCAAAATCAAACAAATTTTATAGAATCGACGTGCAGCTCCATTTCATCGTAGCGTGATGTTTTATAGCTTATTGCACTCAGGAACATTGTAGCTTTCTATCAGTGAAAGAATTTTGGCAATCCGACCAGCGGTTCCAAAGATTACCCCCTACATACAAACTTACAAATTTTACCTCTTTATAATATTAGTATAGATAGGTCGGCAAACGAGCAGACGAATTACCTGATGGTAAGCAATCAGCACTACTTATGGACACCCGCAACATGAGAAGAAGATATGAATGCATTACCGGCCTATTGGGGATTAGAGTTTCGGGGATTTGATATAAGGTTGGGATTGAGAGAGGGGAAAAAGAGTGAAAGTCTCCGGTAACCTCACTCACACGGCCAAACACAACACAGTAGTAGTTTCACGCCGATTTTCTATGAGGCCGTGGTATCACTGCGGTCGAGCTGACCCATTCGTGCCCAAACTTGACTTTTCCATTTTTTTTTTGCCTCACACTTGAATTGTCTCCTGTGTAGTGGGTGCGTTTACAAACATACAAATTCACATACACATCACACCCAGACCCGGAACAACAATTTGTGGATCACACAAAGAGTTGTTCCGTGCGGGAATCGAAACCGCGCCAACCGTGCTGTCTTTTATAAGGTAATCTATTTATCAATACTTACATTCCTGGTTATCGTGATCCTCATTCCTTGGCAGAGATGTCTTTGTGAGTGAGGATGAAGTAGAAGTTGTGCATTTAAATGTAGTAGCATCACAAATGCCATTTGGAAACTGACAGTCTTCATTTAACAGGCAATCATCATCAATATCTGGAAAAATAATTAAGACATATTAGCGGGTCGTTTAATAATTAAGCTGAACTGGATCGTACATTACAATTGGGTAGTTTCCTAGGTCAAATATAAAATAAATTCGACGTTTCAATATCTACAATAAAATATTGAAAAATAACTATAATACTTTTATTCATCGATCGATCGATCGATACACTAAGTTTTTGATTTTTTTAGCTTATTATCAATAAATAAGTAAGCTATTTGACGCAAAAATGTTATGATGTCATAACTCAGTTTTTCATACAAATTTCATAGAAAAGTAAAGTTTTTGACGTTTGGATAAAAGTATTGAATTTGACTAGTTGGAAACTACCGTACATTAATTTCTTTAAAATAATAAGCCAAGCGTGTAGACTAATGTGGATTTATTCCTTATTATATGAAATCACATGGAAATATAAACCGATTAGCGTGATATCCTCGGATTTATTTAGTCCTAGGCGGAAAATCGAAGTGTCACTTTGACGTTTAAAAAAGAGGATTTTTTTACTACACCTCTATTTATAAATTTAAGCAAACAAATTTTCTGTTTACATGAGTTGCTATTTACATGTGAACATTAGCTCATGACGATACCTAAGTACGTGTGTCGCCTGGACAGTCACCGCTACCATAAGTTGACTGGACAATCTCTTTACATGAGCTGCTGTTTACATGTGAACATTAGCTCATGACGATACCTAAGTACGTGTGTCGCCTGGACAGTCACCGCTACCATAAGTTGACTGGACAATCTCTTTACATGAGCTGCTGTTTACATGTGAACATTAGCTCATGACGATACCTAAGTACGTGTGTCGCCTGGACAGTCACCGCTACCATCAGTTGACTGGACAATCTCTTTACATGAGCCGCTGTTTACATGTGAACATAAGCTCATGACGATACCTAAGTACGTGTGTCGCCTGGACAGTCACCGCTAAAACTTTTTATAAAATACTTACTAAAACTACTCTCTCTGCATTCACCCCTCTGTCTCTCGTAATACCCTTCAGCGCAGGAACAGACGCCCTCAACACAAGCCAGATTATAGGGATCTCTTAATGTTCCCATACATTCCTCGCTTCGAGTACATTTTCCTCCGAAATCGATTGATTTCCAACATCTCCCCGAGAAGTAATGATGGCCTGCTTGACAGAGGCATTGTCCTACTGCAATTAAAAGAGGTTCAATTTAATTTAAAGTGTGGGAGAATCATGCTTCAGCATTAATGGGTCGACTCGACACTAGTACCACAGCGGTGTTCCGCCGTGTGAATGAGGTTACTATAAATACAGGAAAAGGGGAGAAGGATTGGCCTTCTTCTTTCCCCAATCTCTAAATCTCCGAAACCCTAATCCCCAAAAGACTGGCAACGCACATAAGAATAAAATAATATTTAAATAAAAAAACCTCAAAAGAGAAAACCAGACAAGTTGTGCAAAATGTTTCGTAATGGCGGGAATCGGCCATAGACTAAAAAGTGAAATTGGTTTATTTTGGTATTTTCGCGGATAGCATTTCCGCGCAAGTGGAATGGAAGCATAACCCAACTAATAATATAAAAAAAACTCTATTACCTACTCACTAGTGAATAATAATAATGAAAAAGTCACAGTTTGAATATTGGCTACGAGCGCGACGGTGGCGACGCGTAGCGTTTACAACATTTGCGGAAGCTGTCAAATAATAACAATGTAAACATTATAATTATTATCTTTGCAAATATAAATAAAACCATTATTAAAATAGTATTGTTGACATTATTTAAGTGCAATTTATTCAATAGTTTTACTGTAAAATGAATATAACAATAAAAACCGATAGCTGATCGTCCGCATTTGTTTCCAATTTCTGCCGTGTTGTGCGCTGCCTTCGTTATCTGTCCGCCACTACTCGCTTTGCACATAGCCAATAGGTCTCATTATGTGCTTGATTGCCGTGGGATTAGAGTCACTTTATGAGGAATTGTGTTGACAATGTTTTCGTCTTTTGAGGTCGGCCTGTTAAAAGTAGGTCTTAAATAGGCCTTACCTTCGTTATCACCAGTTTTTCGACATTCAAAGTTCATGAACAGCGCTCGACACTGAACAGTCAACTGACAGGGAGACGCATGGTAGGGTGCCACTGAAACAAAAGAAAAACGCATAATTGTTTAGTTTCCAAGGTCAAAAATAAATTAATTCGACGTTTCAATACAATAAAATATTGAAAAAATATATCAAAAAATTTTTAAAACCCCCGACAAAACACTAAAATAAGCTGCGTTGGGGGACCGCTCGAATTTTTTTATTATCTACTATTTTTTACAGTCGCAATAAAAAACAAACCCTCCAGAGACCAGCAATACGTTTATTTTAAGTGTGGGAGAGCCATGGTTCGACACCAATGGGTCGGTTCGACCGGAGTGACACCACGGCCTCACAGAAAACCGGCGTGACACAACCAAAGCGTTGTGTTTCGCCGTGTGAGTGAGGTTACAGGAGGCCCAATCCTTCCCCTCCCCCAATACCTAAATCTCGAAATCCCTAATCCCCGAAAGGTCGGCAACGCACTCGTAACTCCTTTGTTTTTGCGAGTGTCAATGGATGGCGCTGATTGCTTGACGACTGACGACCTATCCCATTCAAAAAAATTCAAGTGAATGAGTCATTATTTTTAATAAACAATGAGGTTATTTTACTTCGGTTCTCAGTGAGGCCGTGGTATCATTCCGGTCGAGATGACGGCCCATTTACCAGGCTAAAAGAAAAATGACGGTACTCACCAGGCTCGCAAGAGTTTCCGAATAAATTTTCAGTTCCGGGTCGACAGACACAGCTTCCAGCTCTGCAGACCAGGTTGGGCATGGATGAACAATCCGAGTCCTGCTCACATATGTCTATCTCAATCAATGTGGATTGGACTAGACTTGCATGTAGGATTATTCCTGTAAAGAAATATACTGTCATTACCATTATCATTCTTTATTTATTTTTAAACTTGACTTTTACATTTTTAAATATTTTCACAAAACAAAAAGAAAAAAGAAATACACTTAAAAATATAAAAAGCAGTATCCCACCGGTTACGGGAGAGTTCCAAGCAACCGGTGGTCAGGGCTCCAGAGAAAGGAATCTCCGGACAATGCGCACCGTGTCTAGAAGTACACCTTTCTGCATCAGATTCTTGACCCAACCATCTAACGTAAGCCTGCTTAGGTGTTTATCAAGGATTTTACCCATGAGACCACTGGCAGACATGACTATCGGCACAATGATTGCTGAGTCTACATCCCACATGTCGACTCATGCATCTCATGAGCTAAATCAAGATATTTACTTGCTTTATCTTTTCCAGCTTTCACAAGATTCTCGTCATGTGGGATTGTTATATTAATTATCATTGTGCGACGGTTTGGTCGATCTATCATCACAATGTCCGGTTCATTATCATTAACATATCTATACTAATACTAGCGGTTCCTCTCCGAAAACCTTAATATATCAAACAGTGAACTCGTGAGGCCGTTTTCAAGATCACACGCTTTTTGAACCAATCACCGCCATTGGCCGGCCTGATTTGTGAATCTCAACCATTCAGAGCCCCACTCAAACGCATACAGAAAACAATATTTAAATAATTAAGAGGAGTTTAAGAACATACACACGTACAGCAGAATTTTATATTTATACTAATATTATAAAGAGGTAAAATTTGTAAGTTTGTATGTTTGTAAGTTTGTATGTAGGGGGTAATCTTTGGAACCGCTGCCTGATCGGATTGCTAAAATGCTTTCACTGTTAGATAGCTACAATGTTCCTGAGTGCTATAGGCTATAAAATATTACGCTACGATTAAATGGAGCCGAGCAGCGGGTGAAACCGCGCGAGAGTGGATAGTATATATACCTATATATGTATAATAACAAATACTATAAAAAGTTTGTTTGTTTGAACGCGCTAATCTCAGCTCTCTCTTTAGAGCTCAATCTTTAGAGATTGAGCTCAATCTCTAAAGAAATAAAGTTTGCCTGTGTGTGTTTAGTTTGTGACAAAGGCACTGCACAACAATGTGGCATTTTAGATAACAATATTTTGATTTTAAGCATAAATAGACAAAAACAAAATCCTTGTACCTAACGCTACAGAGCTGCCATCTCTCGGGAAACATTTCTGAACACCCTTACTGAAGCAGTAAAGTGAGTGATATCGAAGGACGAAGGACAAGGACTGTTATAAGTAAGTATTAGTAAATAACGAACAACACATCAATAAGTTGAAACACACTATTATATTTCTAGGAAATAATAAAGTTCAGTTTCCTTTGCAATTTGACAAATTCATTTCGATCAATCGTAATTTAAGTAAGTGATTATGTAGAAGCGATCCATATCTCTATTGAGTTAGAGTTTATATTAGTATGTATGGTAATATGATGAATCATTTTCCGAGTAAAGCTTTGAAATTACCTATTTGGTCTGCATTTTTTTTAAACTTTCCTTTCTGTCAAAAAAAAAAAGTCAAAATTCCACAAATTGTTGATCCCGGTCTAGGCATGATGTGTATGTGAAATTGTATGTTTGTAATCGCACCCACAATATAGGACAAAATCCTAGTATGAAACTGCATTTTGAATTAATTACAAAACAATAAATCCGCAAAGCAGCTTGTGGCGAGCTGTTGGGCAGTGGCGACCCCACGGACCTGACTCCCGGGAGGTGTCTTGTTCTTCATTTCCGGTTAGTCCTCGTGCCTAGCTGGAGTAAAAACTGATGAGGAACAAGCCCTCCTACCTTATTCTTGCCTTAATTGGCTGGCTTGAGTGGAGATTCACAAGAGTACTGGCAAGGATTCTTGACGTGTAAAAGTGCCGTTTTATGGCCTATTTGCAAAAATAAATTCATTGTTTCATTGTTTCATTGTTTCATTGTTTCAGTAGGAATTGAAGAAGACTCGGGGGAAGGATGTAGGTAAGGTATCTCAGTAAGGTGCTGGTAGGGGTCTTGACCGTACTTCCGGGGTTGCTCTTATAGCCGTGGGATGCCTCTCCTTCCCCAAGCAGCTCAACGTATGTTGTCCCCTTGTCGTTACATACTAGCGGCCGTTTCCGGGGGCCCATAAATTGAGTTTGCCAGTCACCCCCTCCCTGTTTATCCGTATGTATCAATATTGGTCAGGGGCCATAGTATTTCCATAGTCATCATCTACCAGTCCATAGCCACCCACTCATAACCATATATATTTCTACCATATTGCACAATAGTCCTGCATCAACCGGGGATTGTCCTTGAGCATAAAGAGATATTCCGTTTAAGTTGTTCAAAGGGCCCTGCGAGTTGGCTTGGACCCCTCGTACGCCTGCCAAATGTCCGGGACCCTGTGGGCCTTTGATTTATAGTCTAGTACTTATAAAATTTACAATAAACACACACAGTTTAGGATTTAAGGTAAAACGCAATGAAATATCCCAATCCAGCTCGGAGCAGGAGAAGAAACGTGGTGGCTTAGGTATAGTCAGTAAAAGTCTTCCATGACTGTTTTCCCATCCATTTTCCATTCAATGACTGTTTTCCCATCAAAAAACTAAAAACAAAAGCCTGATAAAAACATAGACTTACCTATTAATAACAAATACAATTTGCAACACATTTTTCTTAAACGAAACTTAACTAAATAAGTAATGAAATTAATTAAATATGTATTTTGAAGGGCGAATGCCCCGTACCACGATTTACCGAAAACTGAAGGAAATATGATTTTTTATCTATACATTTGTACGTATTAACACGGGCATGATAATCCGGACGCGTTTATAGATATACAAAGGTATAGATATGAACGTATTGCCTTGTTAATTGGCTCTATTGTGATAACTTGCCAATTCTAATTTCATGGTATAGGTCGAAGGCAAACGAGCAAGCGGATTACCTGGAAGTAAGCAATCAGCGCCGCCCATGGATGTTGCCGGCCTTTAGGGATAAGGGTTTTGGATATTTTGAGAGGGGAAGGATTGGGCCTCCGGTAACCTCACTCACACGGCGAAACACAACGCTGTGGTTGTTTCACACCGGTATTCTGTGAGGCCGTGGTATCACTCCGGTCGAGCCGACCCATTCGTGCTGAAGCTTGGCACTACCACACTTATAAATTAATTAGAGAAGTACAATTTTATGATATATAAGATGAATATTATGATAAATGCTGGTAGAAAATACTCTACTGCACGGCTGGCGCGGTGGTTGGGCAACTGGCTTACGTGTAACATGTCGCGGGTACGATTCCCGCACGGAACAACTCTTTGTGTGATCCACAAATTGTTGTTCCGGGTCTGGGTGTGATGTGTATGTGAAACTGCATGTTTGTAAACGCATCCATGACGACATCATGACACAGGAGGACATCCTAATAAGGGGAAATGTTAAAAAAAACATTTTACACACGCTTCGCCCGTGTGGTGGATAAAAATTGCCTATTTGTTAATCTAACGTATCGCCTATCCACATAACAATATTAAATCGATCCATCCGTTTCTACGTGTCCGTACTTTCTCATAAACTTATACAGTTATAATAGACTAGCTACTCTCGCGCGGTTTCACCCGCTGCTCGGCTGCGTTTAATCGTGGCGTGGTGTTTTATAGCCTATAGCACTCAGGAACATTGTAGCTATCTGTCAGTGAAAGAAGATTGGCAATCGGACAAGCAGTTCCAAAGATTACCCCCTACATATAAACTTACAAATTTTACCTCTTTATAATATTAGTATATGTAGATATGATAGTAGGATCTAGCATTGAAAACTCAATTATTTATTTATTTATTTATTCATATTGCACAATGTACATATAATGTCAAGTATAACATACAGCCAGTACAGTACCTTACCCTGTTAGGGCGCAGCAATTTAACTTATAACTAGATAATTTAGTCATAAAAACATGTTATATTTTTTATTGAAACAATGAAACAATGTATTTATTTTTAAAATAGGCCATAAAGCGGCACTTTTACACGTCAAATTATATGTGAAAAACTAGATGAAGCCGGCATTTCCTATCTGACTACTCTGAGAAGAAATGCCGAAGCAAACTCAGAGGTCAGTCTCTTTTCAAGTCCAAGTATAAACTTATTTATTAACTATTAAATGTATTATCACAAACACTTTTATGCATTATTATACAAAAATTCATTCACAGTAAGACACAACGTTATTAAAATAAAGTTAGCTAAAAATTATTACTACTTCTTAGAGCTATATAACTGTTACCCATACATACATATAATAACTATTTTATAGCTACCTATACCTAAATATAATAAATATAAACCTCTAAGAATCAAATTAAAAGAGTCTAATTAAATATAGATTCTACAATAATTTGAGCAATTATGCAGGTGTGAAAGATAACAGAATATATCGATAATGTTTATCAAGCCCACAGCTGCGTGATAGCATATCTCAGTGTCGTATTATTTTATGAATTAGAAACTAAAAAAGAGTTCCTTTTATATTATGAATCACACATTTATACACATACCAAAGGTTTAGGCTAGCGAGAATGCTTGTTGGAATTAAATCCACCTATGTAGGTACTTTGTGCTTGAATTTGAATAAATTAATAATAATACTTATTTTTTTTAATCTCATTGATCGGCAAACGAGTAGACAAATATTATTTTTTTAAGAGCTGTTTTTTAAATATTCAAATAATTACAAATGTTATCTGTGGAATAAAATTGTTGCTGTCACTGTCTTATACAAACATTCTGACGCGACAGCATCATAATTATTCCCCAGGTAACTCTTATCTAACCATTGAAAAATCAGGCCTTAAAAGATTAACGATGGAGGCAAGAACCTCCATCGTTAATCTTTTCTCTCTCGTTCTCGCTCGTTTTTCTCCATTCGAAGCTTCACTGACGAACAGACTTACAGACTACTATTCTATTTTGACGTTTCAAAAGTACGTTCGTGGCTTATTTGGAATAAATGATTTTGACTTTGGCTGACTTTGACAGCCTCCTATGGACACTACTGATACCAAAGATGCGTTGCGGCCTCTACAAAGTCACTAGGGATTTAGGAAGAGGGCATTTGAGGATTGAGTATAGGGGAGGGGGGGGGGAAGATTGGGCCTCCGGTAACCTCACTCTCGCACGGTGAAATACAACGTAGGTGTTCCTTCACGCCGGTTTTCTGTGACGCCGTGGTATCACTTCGTGTGAGCTGACCCGGACTTATTATACTATACATTCTAGCACGAACATATTATACTATGTGCAAGTATTTTAAGTTTTGAAGATTCGGAGTTGCAGGGCCAAGCGCAATCTTTTTTTTAATTGCACACGGCACGGCCCTTGTTTAGGTAGCCTATCATCAAAATTCGTGCTGCCAAAACTCTGGCGTACCTACATCTTCGCCTTTTTTTGTTATGAGGGGAAAGTCATCAAATTACTTCTCCCGCTCAGGGTTGAGCGGGAGGGAGTGTCAGACTTTTACTGCCTAAAGCCCCCGTTCCTTCTCCTGCTCTGGGCCGAGGCCGCGGGACCTCATTGCGCTTACTAAGCAACCCCGGCTGAACATCAGCTCTATATAGGTCCCCGTCTGTAGTGGTCTATTGGCTCTTTGAGGTGCGCGTGGAACGCTACGTGCCGTACGCTCGGGTCTGGTTCTGGTCGGGCGGCGAGCTGCCCTTACTCGCCGTCCGCAGACCCGCGCTTACGGTAGCCGGAGATCGTCTCCGCCTAAATTACAGATTTGTGATTCGTTTTTTACTGTTTTTTTTCGTATTAGATACTATCACTTCTTTTTAATTAAATTTTTGTTCTATGTTATTTTGTGCACAATTTTTTTTTTGTATAATATTTAGACACTAGTTTCCGTGACTTTGCCCCCGTTGTTTGTTGATAAAAAGTAGCCTATGTCCTATTCTGTACCAAATTACATCAAACAAAAGACGTCACTATTATAGTGAGCAGACTACTATAGCTACACTTACATACATACAAATAAAACGCAAAAATAAAAAAAATGGCGTCACGCGATAACGTATGACGTCAAAAGTGCGTGTTGCCCATTATAAAAATACAAGAATTTCGCAAACTATTTTTAGTTTAGGTACACTCTATTTCTGATTCATAGACAATAGAGGGGAGATTTGTTTACGATAAGAGGTTATTCATGGAGGTTAATAATCGCCTATTACGAGGGCCTTTTAATAAAAAATGACGGTTTTAGTCGAAATAGTATTTTAGTGCTTAATAGTAGAATAATGTGTGGGAGAGCCATGCTTCGGCACGAATGGGTCGACTCAACCGGAGTGATACCACGGCCTCACAGAAAACAAAATAAGAAAATAAATCTCGTATATCTCTGATTACTAAAAGGTCGGCAATGCACTTTTAACTCCTCCGTTGTTGGTGTCCATGGGCGGCGCTGCTTGCTTACCATCAGGTAATCCGTCTGCTCGTTTGCCGACTTATTACATCAAAAAACACAAAATTAATAATTTATACAAATTACATGTTACATTTAAATATCTAGAATAATACAATCTAATTTATATTACACTAGCTTTTGCGCGCGACTCCGTTCGCGTGGAATAGTGACTTTCTGCAGATTTTTGGTATAAAAACTATCCCATGTCCTTTCTCGAGTTCCAAACTATGTATGTCTGTACCAAATTTCACAGAAATCGGTTCAGTAGTTTAGGCGTGAAGAAAAGACAGACGGACAGAGTTACTTTCGCATTTATAATATTAGTTAGGAATTATCGACGGCTCAACTGAGTCAGCCCACGATACGGTGGGTGAGCCGGCCTGCTCCAGCAATCAGCCTATCAACCATTTCTTCAGTGTTGCTTCCTATACCTACTGCTTCAATATCATCAGCCTACAAGTGCTTACTTCTGAGCTTTGCTGTTCCAGAAAAAGACATAGTTTGGAACTCGAGAAAGGACATAGGATAGTTTTTATGCCAAAAATCTGCACGAAGTCACTATTCCACGGCAAAAGGTAATATAAAAAATAATCATATGATATCATACGATAGTTATTTAAAATCAATATATCGTCAAAAGTATATTATATTAAACTTAAAAATAACGAAACATAAAAATATGAAACTTCCAAATAACTCTTTTTTCTATACATTATAAAGAGGTAAAATTTGTAAGTTTGTATGTAGGGGGTAATCGTTGGAGCCGCTGGTCGGATTGCCAAAAATTTTTCACTGATAGATAGCTACAATGTTCCCGAGTGCTATAGGCTATAAAACATCACGCTACGATCAAATGGAGCCGAGCAGTGGGCGCAGACTACACTTACGTGAGTTTCGTCGTGTGAGTGAGAGTCCCATCCCCCCCCCCCCCCTATCCTTAATCCTCAAATCCCCTATCCTTACATCAACAACTATATTTCAGTCCAATCTATACTAATCTTATACTAATACTAATATTATAATCTCCAGAAGTATTGGTTTGAATTGAATAATTATTTTTGTCTTTGTTCGTACATTTACCGAGGAAGGCTTTAGGCTATAAAACATCACGCTACGATTTGTAAGAGCCGAGCAGCGGGTGAAACCGCGCGAGAGAAGCTAGTCATGGTATATAGGTCGGCAAACGGGCTGATGGATCACCCGATGCAGTAAGCAAAGTCTTACCCGGTCCACGTTGGAACCAGCAGAAGTCATTCGAAGGATTTCCCTCTCAAAAAAGGTACCTAATATCCGTCCTAAATGCCTTAGGTACTTAATATCAGTAATCCAACATATGTTTCTTATCTGGCCCGTCGAACGTTCGACCACCTGAAGATAAATGACACCTGTGAAATAATTAGCTTAATTGCAAGCTAATACATATATCCAATAAGGACGCCGATAATTTCGTAAAATTTCACCAATTTCACCACAACATCTTTGAAAATTTTAAGAAAATATGGGTGGATTGTGTAAGAAGTGATATGGAAGACAGAGGAGTTAGTGATAGCGTGACGAGTGACAGGACAGAATGGAAGAAAAAAACATATTGCGCCGACCCCAAATTAAACGGGACAAGGGCAGGAAGATGATGATGATCTTTGAAGATTTTAAATGTGGGAGAGCGTTGCTTCTGCACGAATGGGTCTGCTCGAAAGGAATGATAACAATGCCTCGCAGAAAACCGGCGTGAAACATCAGCGTTGTATTTCCCCGTGTGAGTGAGGATATAGAAGACCCAAGCTTTTCTCTCCTCAAGCCGAAAATCTCCAAATCTCTGATCCTTAAAAGGTCGGCAACGAACTCGTAACTCCTGCGTTGTAGCGGAGGTCCATGGGCGGTGCTGTAGCTGATTGCTCACCATCGGGTAATCCGTTGCATAGATTGCGGCACTAACAAATAAAAAAATAGCATGCGTTTTATGAATCTTATTTTATTTTATTTTATTCATTTATTTAGGATCTCGTATAAAGGATATAGGTACACAAATTATGAAATAAAAAAAAATGACCAGCAATTTTCTCACATAAGTACAGTCAGGGGTCAAAAATGCAATTAAACTCTACCAATTTTAAAATGACTAAAATTTCTTTGTAGTTAAAGTTCAATGGTTCACAGCCAGTTTATTCAATAATTTAGATTCTATGATATAAATTAAAGCAGTCCTCAACCATTGACTCTATTCTACAAAGATATTTTGGTCATTTTAAAATTGGTAGAGTGCAATTGCACTTTTGACCCCTACTATACGTGTATTCCTCAGATTACAGGAGACCACAGCATGCATACAGGAAATTACAACTAAGCAAACAAAATTTATAGAAGTTTAAAAAAGTAATAATAAAAATTAAATTAAGATATAATCGGTAACATATATTAAACTAGCTACTCTCGCGCGTTTTCACCCGTTGCTCGGCTCCATTTAATCGTAGCGTGATGTTTTATAGCCTATAGTACTCGGGAGCATTGTAGCTATCTATCAGTGAAAGAATTTTGGCAATCCGACCAGCAGTTCCAAAGATTACCCCCTACTTACAAATTACCTCTTTATAATATTAGTATAGATTTCAGTTAGTTAATTAGTTTTTTTATACATTTTCGTTCACGCCTTTTATTCCTAATTTGGTAGGTAGGTATAGAAATACATAAAATGGTACCTTTATATAATGCCAGATATAATACAGCGGTTGCAGCATTAGCTGGGCGAGTTCGACTCAAACACGGAACAACTCTTTGTGTGATCCACAAATTGTTGTTCCGAGTCTGGGTGTGATGTGTATGTGAAATTGTATGCTTGTAAACGCGTCCACGAACCGGGAAAAATCCTAGAAAGAGGAATCGTTAAAATTTAAACAAAAACTCCCTACCCACCTCACCAGATATGTTATGATTTCGTAGGTATGTGTACCTACTTATAGAAATTTTCGGATAGCTGAAAACGTCTCGATAATCCTTTGTCAGACCCAGTAATAAGCGAAAGTCATCTCTAGGGTTGATTTAGGCCGATTTTCTGTGAGGTCGTAGATATCACTCCATTTTAACCAACCCATTTATGCCGAATCATGGCTCTCCTATGCTTAAAAACTTCAAAGCCCTAGTTAGGTACTAAACTGGTGAAAAAATCAATCTTTATATATAAAAATAGATCGCAAAATGTGTTGGTAAGCGCATAACTCAACAACGCCTGGACCAATTTTGCTAATTCTTTTTTTGTTGTGTTTGTTATTGTCAGGAGAAGGTTCTTATCAAAGAAAATATTAGAAAAGTAGAGGGAAAGATTAGGAAAAATTGACCCTTCAATAGCGAGATAGTTGGACCCGTGCGAAGCGGGGGCGGGCCGCTAGTGTAAAATAAATATCGCCTAGTTAGGTAAATTAAACAAAACACTGCCTATTTAATTTTTCTTTTATACCTACTTAAATGTTGTCCTACCCATTATTTTTCTTCTACATTCATTATGTAAGTAAGTAAGTTAAGAAAATTCACCGTGATACCATCAGTTTAAATGGCTCACAGTAATGCCGATCAAGATTACGTGCATGGAATATGAAAAAAATAAGTTTATCAAGAAATAAGAAAGGTTTCTAACACGCGAAAGTTTTCTTTGTAAGCTTAATTTTATGTTAAATCAGGCCTTTTCGGTAGTTAAGGAATCGGTTGAAATAGCCTTTTTAGGTAGATAATATCCGAAAGTCTCCCAGTCGATATCAATCGTGTAAAATAGTCTATTGGTAAACCAATAGACTTTTGGTGGTAGAGTAGAATCTTGGCATGTCTATGTAAAATGTTTACAAATAGATAAATTACCTAAAACGATGTTAGCTCCTAAACCTTATTCAAATAATCTATGTAGGTGTGTATTTTACACGACTTGTCTATACTAATATTATAAAGAGGCAAAATTTGTAAGTTTGTATGTAGGGGGTAATCTTTGGAACCGCTGGTCGGATTGCCAAAACTCTTCCACTGATAGATAGCTACAATGTCCCTGAGTGCTATAAGCTATAAAACATCACGCTACGATTAAATGGAGCCGAGCAGCGGGTGAAACCGCGCGAGTTTAATATAAAAAGATATACCATTATTAATTATTACGTTTTCGGCTAACTCACGTAATTATTCGACGAGGAACTCGACTAGTTTCTAACTAGTCCAGTAAAGAAGTAAAAGAAATGTAGATACATAAAGTATTAGCAAGGCTTAGTTCTTCTTTCTAATTATGCACTCTTTACAGAAGAATAGTTTTCATTTCCTTTAAGACATTTGTTGGCAAACAGGCAGATGAATTATGTGATGGTAAGCAATCAGAGTTGTTGCCGTTGCCGGCCTCTTTTGTATTACTAGGGATTTAAGGGATTTGTGGATTAAGGAGTTTTATGGGAAAAGCATCAAATGACATCTCCCGTCCTGGCAAGGGCATGAGAAATCAGCGAGAGGGAGTGTCGGACACTTTTTTGTGAGGGGAAAATCATCAAATCATCTTCTCCTGCCCAAGCGGGGAGGAGGGAGTGTCAGACTTTTACTGAATAAAAACCCCTCCGTTCCTTGTTCTGCCACGAACTAAGCCGCGGTGCGAATGCCTCAAAAGCCAGAAAAATATTTGTGAAAAGCTTGGTTAGAAACTACCTCTAATAAATGTTTCAGCGATAAAACTTGCTTTTTTTATTTACAACGGACGTTTTATCATAGGATGAGTAACTATGTTGTTAATATGCTTAGATTAATCACGATGACTAGAAAAGATAGAGCATTGTATCAATTTTTACTGATAACATGCAAAAATTATGGAATTTATTCGGGAAATAATGGAACAAATTGATCCTTTAAGCAATAAATCAAATGTAATACGTCTATCAATAAGGAAATTGCGTGTTAGGTAAAGAAATGATTTTCTTTGTAATACAGCAAAGAAGGTTACCTATTGAAGCTTGTTGGTTGACGTGTAACGCCATCTATAAGATTAATTTGGCAATATTTGTATTATGTCTCCTCTACTCGACACTAGATGTCACGAGATTTATAATACTACATAAAAAATAAAATGTATTATAGTATTTACTTTACCAAAATTATTCACTTTGAAAATCCATAAACGTTACATAAGTTTATGAAGGACAAGATTTATTTTAGTAACAAAACGTAAATATCATAAAGCAAATGTCAAAATCTTATCTAAATTGTCAATTTGCCAATGTCAAATGAAAAATCAACACATTGTTGATGTTTAGAGGTTATAATAGAATTTGTATTAAACGCTAAATAAATAATCATGGCAGCAGATCCTCTGGATGAATTACTACAATTCTTGAAGCCTGAAGCTCGTATTGACTTAAGACATATCGCTTTGGATCACTTAGTGGGACTTTCAGGGACGGAAGAAGGAATAACAACTTTGCTCTCCCACGAAAAAATAATACAAAGTATTATCAATTTAACTGACGATAAAATTGAAGAAGTGGCCAAAAACGCTTTACTGATACTGGTTAACATCACAGCTAACCCCAGAGGTGTTATAGAACTCCTTAAATACAAATCAGATGAAAATAAAAACATCGTTAAATTGTGTATAGGTTATGTTTTGAATCCAGAAAAGAAGGACGCGGATGCGGCCGCGATGATACTTTCGAACATAACTAGAGTCGAAACGGAGCTAGATAATGTTCTAGATGCATTTCTACCGCATTTAAACGACATTTTAAACGCTTATGTGAACATAAACTTCAACAAAAAAGGTTCAAATCTAAACTTTATTGGACCAATGATTTCTAATCTGTCTTGCTGTCATAGCATAAGAAAATGGCTAACAGAGGAGAAACCACACATTCCATTAATAAAACTATTACCATTCTGTAGTTATGAGCTGTCAAACGTCCGAAGAGGTGGTGCAATGGGTACAATAAGAAATCTATCATTTGACCCAGAGTTTCATGACTTTTTACTAAGCAACGATTTGGAACTACTTACATATCTGTTAAACCCGATAATGGGGGGTGAAGAATACATTGACGAAGAGATGGACACATTACCAATATCGTTACAATATTTACCGAAAGAAAAGCAACGAGACAGTGACATTGACATTCGTAAAATTATTTTGGAGACGTTAAACAAACTGTGTATGCGAAAAAAAGGCAGAGAGTTCTTGAGAGACAACGGAGTGTACTATGTACTACGGGAGTATCATAAATGGGAGACGGACCCCAAAGTGAGACTCGCTTGTGAGAACGTAGTTGATATTTTAATTCAAAAAGAGGAAGAGGTCGGCGCTGAGGACCTTTCTGCTGTTGAAGTGCCTGATGAAATGAAGGAAAAGTTTGAAAAGATGGACGAGGAATATATACAAGATAAATAAATGTTATTTATATTTTATTTTGGGTTTTATTGCCAACTAGCTTTTGCCAGCGACTCCGTTCGCGTGGAAACCATCCCATGTCCTATATCCAGTTCCTAACAATTTCACAGAAATCAGTTCAGTAGTTAAGGTGTGAAGAAAAGACAGACAGACAGACAGAGTTACTTTTGCATTTATTATATTAGTGTGGATTGCTTCCTTTTCTTCAGATATGCCATAGTTATGGCACCCTGTCTCCAAATATGATGGCACCCCAGGCCCTTGGTCATATACGGCCTTATTACAAAACAAGGTTTTACTTTAGGACTAAACCATTGAGCCAGTTTTCGTATTTCGAATTGAAGGTAGATGACAATAAGATTCAAAATTCAAAACCTGACTCAATGGTTTAAACCTGGACTAAAGATAAACATTGTCTTGCACCATCTATCCCACCCACCCTAGGAGCAGCCCTGTTATCCACAAATTTTTTTGAAGGCCTATATGCGATAGAATGAATTTTAATATATGTATGACAAAGAGAAAATCCTAGTATGGGGCAACATTAACAAATTTACTTGAAGGAAAGTTTTCTTGTTGTCTCCTAGTCATTTTTTTTACTACTACTTTTTACCCATCTCGGTTCCACACCTCCCGATTCTTCGACCGTGTCCACCAGTCTCGACGATAGGCGTCTAGATCGTCACGCCATCTTTTTCGGGGCCTACCCCGCCTGCGGCCTCCATCCTGAGGTGTCCACTGGCTGACAATTGTGGCCCATCTCTCCGGATGCATTCGGCTGACGTGTCCAGCCCAGTCCCATTTTAATGTTGCCACATCAGCACACATATTTCTTACATATTTACCTATTTACTTTCGGTGTGGGATCGAAACTATTCCTGGCACTGGAATGTTCAAACTTTTTTTATTTCTTTGTTTTCATGGATGTATCTGTACAATCCAGAAGCAAGCTTCGGTACGAATGGGTCGCCTCGACCGGAGTGATACCATGGCCACACTGAAAAGCGGCTTAAAACAACCACAGCGTTGTTTCGCCGTGTGAGTGAGGCTACCGGGGGCCCCATCCTATCCCCAGATCCCTAAATTTCCCAAATCCCCAAAAGATCGGCAACGCACTTGTAACTCCTCTGTTGTTACGGGTGTCCATGGGCGGCGCTGATTGCTTACCATCAGGTAATCCGTTTGTTCGTTTGCTGACCTACAACAAAAGCACTTTAGAGTGTATAGCTAGTCCTAAAAGGATAATTACAATAATAAAACTTACTTTTACTTATTATTTATTTATACTTAAACATTTATTTTACAATTTATAACCACATACATTCATTATGTCAACAAATAGATTACATTACATTATTCTTTTCTTAACATTGGTAGGTACAAAAAGGAAAACCCTGCCCGATCCATGAAGGTTTTACACCTTAGAGGTTAAAGCCAGAGATTCTTACATATTCAAACCACAGATTCTAACAACATTTTTAACCAGTCTTAAAATTAAAACAAAAAAATAAGTACAATTAACAATTTTGTTTGATTGACTTAAAAAAAAACTAATTAATTCCGCCAAATATTCATTTTGTAAATTAGGAAACTACTCAAATTGTTATTAGATTTCTAACCTAAGTTTATTTATTGACTAAGTGATAATGGAAGAATTCAGTATTTTATTTCTTACTGGAGCCCAAACCTTTAAAAAAAAAATTGAATATGACATACTCTCAGTACCTACATCACAGACAGCATCAAAATTCCCATACAAAAATTTTAAAACAATAGTGTCAGAAAACTTCAGAATATCTTTGTCAAAATTACTACACACATTTCCAAAATTATCAATCTTCCTTTTTAACTTATGCTTATCCAAACTCGGTTATACCTATATCACATTCTTGTTACAAACATTTGCCAATATTTTTAAGATTTGACAACGAAATCACCTATCATAGTTGTCCGTAAAACAACTCTTTCAAATGATCTTACATGCTTTTCAGAGCTCTGGTTTTAAACCACCAAATTCAATAACAATCCTTACTATATTATTTACTTATCCTTAGCACCTCCTTTTTACATTTCATTAACAATTAGAATTAAATTTTGGAAATATCACTATGATCGGGCAGGGTGTAACTAAGACAAACATAGGTACTTAAATACACAAATAAAATGGGATGGCAAAAGTTTAGATCACATTATAACTCCTCACAGGTTAAAAGTTTATAACATACCCCCTTTTTAAAATACCTACAAAATTATGAACAATGTTTTACAATTTTTCTACAACACCCACCCACGCAAAATAGAACTATCCTTAGACTCTTTTATATCGAAAAAATTATTGACTGTATCACTTAAAATTCTTTACAAGACTTCCAAATTATAAATAGCGAAAATTTTAGTCATCGTCGAAAAAAAATCACTTGCCTAGGTAACTACGATCTTAGATCTTGGATTTGGCTTGGCAGATGGTGATAATATTACAGAAAATTCACTTTAATATACCAAGCAAATTAGATTATTAAAGAAGAGAATTCAAAAAAGCACCAAACAAAAATAATATACTACAACCTATCCCATTTTGTGGTATCTATGGGGGATTTTATCACCTCTTACCTCTCTTTAAGAGTCATGTACTTACTTAATACCAACGCCACCCCAAAAATTTGAATTTACAAAGTACTATGCTTTGGACATAAAAACAAGGTACCTAACGAACTAATATATATTTTCCAAAACCGCTATCTACACATTACGCATGTTATTCCCAAAAAAGAGTATGTAGACAGGTATACTGTGAAGTTGCTCTTTCGGTAGTTACTTAAGCACTATCAACCCTACCTACAGCTTTGGAGGATAACAAACGTAGCGTTATACCAGTCTCTGCATTCCATAAATCACATGCTGAGTATTTTTGGCAATTTCAATCAATACCGCTTAGCGACTTCAATTATTGAATCTCTAATTCGACTTAGTGAGTCCAATTAGTGAATCTCTAATTCGACTTAGTGACTTCAATTAGTGGATCTCTAATTCGACTTAGTGAGTTCAATTATTGAATCTCTAATTCGACTAGTGAGTTCAATTAGTGAATCTCTATTTCGACTTAGTGAGTTCAATTATTGAATCTCGGATTCCACTTAGTGACTTCAATTAGTTAATCTCTAATTCGACTTAGTGACTTCAATTTGTGAATCTCGAATGTCACTTAGTGGTATATATCCAAAAAAATATTAGCAACATTATGTGTTCTAGAATTCACATTTTTACATGTCATTGTTATTTTTTCGTTATGTCACACTGTGTAAAAACAAAGAGTTGGAAACCAACTTGAAACTTTAAAATGTCACTCGTTTTAGTAATTGATGTGCTGTGATACTAATTGCTGTGAATTTAATAATAATTCCTTAGACCCTCCGCTGATTGTGACTCTTTGTAACAGTGAATTTTGTTAATTTCACTAAAATTGTTCGTGAAGGACAATGAGTGTTGCAAAATGAAATAAGCTGAAAAAGCAAAGTCGCAATGAGCATACTCCAATAGCAATATACAGGTCAGCAGACAGTCACGCTGCAAATAGTTACCGTTTTGTCCGCAGCAGTGAGCGCACTGTCCTATACCAATCACCATTGCACTCAACTTAGGGCTGATTTATAAATGTTATCTGAGGAATAAAATTATTGCTGTCACTGTCTTATACAAACATTCTGACGCGACAGCATAATAATTATTCACCAGATAACTTTTATCTGACCATTGCAAAATCAGCCCTAAGTGTACAAAAAATCACAATCAGTGGAGAGTCAATTGCAAACTCCAGAAATATCTAAGTATTTGTCCTTGACTTTGTGCAGTATCTACACAGCGGCAAGAGACCAAAAATTTCTTCTTTAAAAGTGCAAAAATATGTGTCTCTTTGATATTATTTTAAATTTAATATTAGTAACAGCCTTACAATTATATGACTAGGCCGTTTGGAAACACATTACCGCGACGTCAGTCTAGCTGAAACGCCACACAAAGTTAAACTATGAAACTGAACAGCTTCTGGCGCAGACAAAGCCACGGTAATATATTTCCTACCCACATTTATGAGACTAAAAATATCCATTACAGTTATTCAGTTGCAACATTGCAACCTATAACAAAAAGCGACTAAGTCGATTTTTGAGCGACAATATACAAAACTTACAAGACTAATTAATACCTAAAAAAATAAAGAATAATACCAAAAATCTGGTAACATTGATTCGAAAAACATAGCGACAGAATAGAAAGAAACCTTTGAAGCGCCAAAAACAAAACACAGAGAGAAAAAAGTTGCTAGAGATTCACAATAAAAAATTCAACATTAGGTCTAAAAAATATGAGAAAAAAAACGAAACTCGATTTCCATTACAAAGCAAAATTAATATTTAGTCTAGGTTTAAGCCATTGACTCATTTTTTGTATTTTGAATCTTATTCAATTAATGGTTTAGACACATACTGAAGAAAAACCTTTTTTTTGTTTTAATGCCGTAGTTCAATGAATCTACAGATCAGTCACCAAGGGTTTTTGTCATATCCTATCGCTATGGGAAATTATAGAAAAGTACGTATAATTGTATAAAAGCTCACTGCAACGGTCTGTAGCCAGTGGGGTTTTCTGAACGAGCCTTCTTCCGTTCTGAAGGGGTACCGCCCCTAATTTTTTGTATCACATGTGCCTTTCTTGCTGGGTCCGGTTTGAATGATGTATGAGCGTCCTGAAAAGAAATGCTTAGTAGTAGTAACAATACAGAAGCTAATAATAGGTCTTTACCTGTGAAATTGCCGTTCTGCAGTACTGGCCATTTCAAATCAAAATAGTTTTTGTTAGGCTAAGGCTAATTAATTTTGTTTTAAAAACATGGGATTCTTTTTCCGAATGTAGTCATTTGTTTATTGATTAGTGTAACATTTTCATCGCATTTCAAATCAAAAAATTCGTTTACATTTTTTCATGCAAAACGGCTATTTCATAGGTAAAAACCTATTAGCTTCACTTAGAGGACTGGCCAACTGACTGACACTGTTAATGGTTAAGCTGTTTGACGTTCAAAATTGCCTCTAAGGGTCTAATTGAAATTATTGATTTTGATTGAGACTTTGACTTTAGTCAAGTAGCTTTTTTCCGCGGAAAAAAAAAACACACACACACAATGACTAGCCAAATATTTATGTAACTACATAACGGCTATTGATGTTGAGCAGAATGTAAACATATCCTGCTCAATCAATTGCACTAGGTCGATTTCCTTTAAAATTTCACGAGGTCCTCACAGAAAATCGCCGTGAAACAACCGCAGCGTTGTGTTTCGCCGTGTGAGTGAGGTTACCGGAGGCCCCAATCCCTAAATCTATAAATACCAATCCTCAAAAGGTCGGCAACGCACTTGCAACGCCTCTGTTGTTGCCATGGTCGGCGCTGGTTGCTTACCATCAGGTAATCGGTCAGCCAGCTTGCCAAACTTTCACATAACAAAAAATCGCTCAGACAACAAGTCCCGACTAAAAACTGCTCTTTTGGGTAGCGCAGGGCAGCGCGAGTGGAATGGCAAGTCTAAATTACATACTCGTTATGCCCACTTCCTTGCTCGCTACATCTGAATGTAAATGAGGCTTAAGAAGTAAATATAAACTTACATTTTCCCAGTCATCACTGCTCTCTGGAGCAGGCTGCTGTACGATAGGTACGACGGGACGGTGGTCATCATCCATCGCATACATTTGCGTATCCAACATATCACGCTTTGGACACACCGAGATATGATACTGAAATGAGAAAACTCTATTAAGCATTTGACTGCCGACAAAAACTGTTGAAGGCCAACCCACCGCTAACGTCGGACACCAATGTCCGACATGGCGTTCTAAGTGTTAATACTGCGCGTGAGGGCCGTGCTTCGGCACGAATGGGTCGACTCGACCGGAGTGATACCACGGCCTCACAGAAAACCGGCGTGAAACAACCACAGCATTGTGTTTCGCCGTGTGAGTGAAGTTACCGGAGGCCTAATCCCTGTCCTATCCCCAAATCTCCAAATTTCTAATCCCCAAAAGGTCGGCAACGCACTCGTCACTTCTCTGTTGATGCGGGTGTGACAGAAAACCGGCGTGAAGCAACCAGCAATTTGTTTTCGCAGTATAATAAGTGAGGTTACCTTTGACCCAATCCTTTTCCTCCCCCAATAGCTAATCCAAATACGGTACTCAAACACAACACATCTCTTCTTGTGTTGAGGGTGTTTATGATCTGCACCGATTGTTACGACAGACAATCCGCTTGCTTGTTGCAGTCCCATCGCAAAAAAAAATGCTCTACCGACAATAAATTCAAAGTTCAGATAGTAGATAATGCCTACACGGCATTAAGTACGCCTATGTACAAAACTTTGTGTGCATAAAGCTTAATAAATAAATAAATTAATTAATGTCAATGCAAAAAATTGATAGTTAGCTTTCTGAATTAGGTCGAATGCTCCGGCAATCGTCACGTAATTCTACAACGGTCCCACACGTATAAAAAAACTACAATCTGAAAACCTAATTCTAAAAATTTGTATGCGGCCAGCCTTGGACAACGCGAGAGCCATGCTTCAGTACAAATTGGCTATTTCATGGTCCACGGCCCTACATGAAACTGGCGTGAAACAACCTGACCTACTTGCGTGACTGAGGTGACCTTTCGCCGCCCCCATCTCCAAATCACCCAACCCTCAAATACTCAAGAGTTGCATAGGTGCACAGACGGGGTAAATTGCTTAACATCAGGTAACATTAGGTTCTAACCTACAAAAAAAAACAGAAAAACTTACGTTAATTTCTACTTCGTTAACTATGTGGGTGGCATCAAAGGGACAGTTGATCTTTCCACTGTTGGGGTATTGCTTCCTGCATTTCTGTAGGTGGATGTGCATTCTATAGTGCTCAACCTGGTGAGCTTTGTTGTAGGGGCAGGAAATCATGTCATGAGGTTGGGGCTCCATTATAAGTCGATCTGTAAAAAAAGTTTTGTCAAAATCGGTTCAACCGTTTCCGAGGTGGTCAGAGTGTAACACACAGATATGTTGACATGCACTGAGTGTAGTGTGTTTTTAAAATTGTATGCTTGTAAATGCACCAATGCACAAAAAACTTAATTGTCCAACAAGGTAAAATGAATAAAGTTCAAGAAAAAACTGAAAATTTCGAAAATCATTTGGCTGACCATTTTTTTTTTACAGAATCTGACCCTTTAGTTGAGAACAGGATAAATAGTCAAGATGTCATAAAAAAAATTGCATCGAAACTGGTTTATTCGTTTTGTAGTTTGATAAACAGACACGACATAAGAGTGATAATTTTTCCTCATCAAACAAAAAAAAAGATACTTATAAGAAAAAATCTGTTACTAACAACTCAATACTATTTTTTATAGTGAAACAAGCTTTATATATTTATATAATTTAGTCTTTTTTCAAATAAAATTTGTGGCTACCCTTTTAGAGAGATCAAATGGGCGTGAGCATTTTATGGCCCAATTAGGTGGTGTCCTAGGTCAAAAATAAACTATTTCGATGTTCCAATACAATTAAACATTCAAAAATAACTATACTATTTTTCATCAATCGATCAATACATTGAAATATTTTAGCCAATTTTCAAGAAAAAAGTAAACTATTTGACGCAAAAATAGCTATAACTCACACCCGGTTTCTGAAAGGCTTGTAGACACTAAAATTAACTAACCTCCTGTTAAATCTCTTGTCAACAACCAATCAGATGACTTGACAAGAGATTAAATTGATTTAAAATTTGATCAGCATTATGTAAACCGGGTGTCAGTTTTTCATACAAATTTCATAGAAAAGTATCATGTTTGACATTTGGATAAAAGTATTGAATTTGACTAGTTGAGAACTACTGTATTGTATGTTTTAATTCATTAAACCCCACACAAAATGCTGGCGTTCACACACCTATTGTACTTATATTGTCTCAAATTATACCATTTATGAAAGGTAAAATTGAGATATCCAACCTGCTTTCGAAATGAGATTAATTTTTTTAGTAAATCCACTAATGAATAAGTAACTTAGTCTGTCAGTGAATGAAAGTATTACTGAACAAATACAATTAAGTATTCATTTCATCCAAATATTGTTGTGTAAACCAAGTCTTTATTTTCAAAAAATGAGTAAAATATAATCATCTACCCTAATTTTAATTAATTTTTAAATCACATGACACAAAAAAATGTTTTTTTTTTGTAAGCGGGTATCCTTAAAAAAGTTGACAAAATATTTGTTCTACAATTTAAAATTAATTGATTTTTATCATCAGAGCACCTGTTGAAGAAGTGGTCAGTATGTTTAATTAATTTATAATAGGTACTGGAAATTATCAAATAAACTACCTCATAGATTTGTGATCATTAATTTTGTAATATTTTTTAGATTTTCACGGAGAAAAATGAATGTGACTGAAGGTTCTTCTTTACCCCCTGGAGTTAAACAATACTCTTAGCTACAAAGAGGTTACTATACTTGTCAAATACTTTGTCTATGGCTATTAAATGGTATTACATGCTCGCAAAAAGGTTGCAAACTACAAAGTTTAGGACATACACAAAAATACCTAACCCTTGACAATAATAAAAAGCTATAAGATATTAAAAAAAAAAATCCAACAAAAATGCCTTACATATTTAACGAAAACTTTTGGAATCGATTATAATTTGGCATTAAGGTTTATATTCGCGGCGAAAGTGGAAACGCCGCAATGTGGACAGCGCAAGTCGAACCGAGCTTATAAATAGGGGCGCAATATCCTCTGACGCCATTTTCCCGGCAGCTTCGAACTTGCAAGGTATTCACTCTCAAGATTTGTCCACAATTGTTATTCTAATATCGATTTCAATACTTACAGGCGGCGGGGAAGGAAAGATAAAGTCACGGTGGTCTTATCAGATCACAGTTTAAGCTTTTAGATGTCCTGCAGTGTAATAACCAGTTATTGATTGCATCTAGGATACTGCAATGATGCTGCGCGGCTTGCGCAGTGCGCGAAAAGTTAAAACCCAACTCCCCATACGCATGCGTGAAACCCGAAATCAATAATTTAAGGTATCAAGGTCATCTAGTATATCACCTTAATCAGAGCAACGACTATTTATTCTATTTCACCTCATATAAAGTGCTAATTTCGACGATAATTATAATGCTGAGCCTGAAAAAATTTCTACCCGCTATTGCGAAAAAAATCAACCGCCCGGCACGTTTCTTTATCAAGATTATAAATTTATAAAGCACGAATAATTAAGAAGTTTTACTTACATGATATATAGTTTTCTTCAACACTTAAAATAATATGTTGTAGTTTAAAATTAAACTACGCGAAATTAATATAAATATATATTAATATGCACTCTCGTTGAGTTTCGTCAATCAATAAAACTGTAACACATGTAACTGACACTTCAATATTTATACGTCATTCAAAATTGAACAACATGGAATGTCATTGAATTTAGTGTTGCCGGTCGGACAGTGATTAATTGTTTAATCGATTTTGTTGCGCATAGTAAAATCGATTTCATTTGACTCTGGCACTAAGTTCATATTTTAACTGAGTGCATCAAATATTGATTTTATTCAGTTTAAGACACTGAATCTTACAAAACCGAACAATATTCGCTTTCTATTTTTTTATTGGAAAACTTTAAAGTTTAAACCGGTAGAACGTGTTAAAAGACTTGAGAAATCTTATTTGGTATTATCCAATTAGGACGAATGGGTTGACAATTACGATGACTGACTGAGGTCAGCTCGAAAGGTAACAAACTATGGTCACAACTTCACAAAAACAATGCCTGACTGAGAAAAGTCTCAGGAATCGAGTACAGGGCCGACCACAGTGTGTATTACAGGGAGATCGGAGTATGATAATAGATTAGAATCGTAACAAATGCAAGTAGGGTACTAACGTCGTTGTTATTCCCTCGATAGTTAAAGAGGGGGTTATTATAATTTAAACTGTAGTAGCTTAGAAAGCTGATGCGTGGCTATTAAGGGCTTGGGAGATTTTGTCCAGTCTGTTTTTTAAAGAATTTATTACCTACCTTTACCCGTATTTTTTTTACTGACGAGTTAAATCATCGATTAATGACTTCTCCTGCTTCAGGCCGAGGCTGCGGCACCTTATTGCGCTTTATCCGCAACGTCTGCTAGGCTACATACCGTATAAAACATAATTATCTACGTAACATATCCTCAACAGTTTGAAGTTCCGTTTTGTACACATTTTTGTTTTATCATTGAATGTTTTTTACGATAAAATTAAACCATAGTTCGAACCGTTTTTAACTGATCGATTCTTATTTTATATTATAAGCTTTATATTTTTAATACTTACCTATAATACATATTTAAAAATTCATACTCTTATTAGAATTTTTCCGTCGATACCAGATTTAAATCGATTTTATTTGAATCCGTTTAAATCGTATAGGTTTGTCAATTTATTGCACCTGCATCCCTAAGATGAATGAATCAACGAACTATCTAGAATGAATGAACTATTTCAAATTGGACCACCAGGACCAATGTGGCGCAATTTTTTTAAAAATAAAAAAAGTTTACCTATAAATAACTAAAATCCATAACGGATTTTAGTTATTTATAGGTAAACTTTTGAGCTACAATTAGCAGAAATGGAGGTAACGACTGCTATCGATATTCGATTTATTTCACGGCGCGGAATTTTCAAAAACAATTTTTTTTTATTAAAGCTTAGGGTAGGTATACTTTGAAAGATATAGCTAAGATGGTTCTTGCATTTTTTTTATTTAACCACCTACAATATCGATATTGACTATAAATTGTAATGAAAGAAACATTCGTTTTGATACTGGAAAGAGACCGGACAACAAAGCTCTGCCAAATACCTACATTCCTTGAACTAAAATTCACCGCGATCTCCAATCTGTGCTAATGCCGCAAACTTTATTCTGTCAATTCCATTCAGATAAGTTGCTTCGTGAATTTTAAATCGTAAACTGATGCATTCATTTAATTTTCTAATTTTAAACAATGACAATGGAATAGATTTTTCTTGAAAATTTTGTGTTCTAATTCTTAAATCGCGTAGGTAGGTATTTATCTAATTATAACATTCCACTTACCTACCTATGTTTATAAGTTTATTTTTATTGTTTGAAGACTTCTCTTGTTGATCCTTTATAATGGCAAATAGGGAGGGAATGGAATTGTTTGCTTGATTCTGCTTCCCGAAGAGTCTTTTCAAGGATCGAGTGAAAAGGTGTTAGGTAATGGGTAAACGTAGGCGCCATCATTCCACCAGGTGAGATAGCGGATCATAAATTACCTATCTAAATGTCTGGTTTGTATATCGGATATCAATTACCTAATGTGAGTTAATCTATACTTCTATACTAATATTATAAAAGAGGTATTTGTAACTTTGTAAGTATGTATGTAGGGGGTACCTAATCTTTGCAACCGCTTGTCGAATTTCCAAAATTCTTGTTTTCTCATTCCACTGATAGAAAGCTACAATGTTCCTGAGTGCTATAGGCTATAAAACATCACGCTACGTTCAAATGGAGCTAAGCAGTGGGTGAAACCGTGCGAGAGTAGCTAGTAATTTATAAAGCAAAATAGCTACTCTACTGTCAGTGAAAGAATTTTGGCAATCCGACTAGCGGTTCCAAAGATTACTCCTTACCTTACATACAAACTTATACAAATATAATTACTTACTAGTGACACAGTGTGGCTTTGAACGAGCGCAAGGCTAATAAATTTCTCCATTATTTATCTAATGAAAGTTTAATACCTACGTTCTTCAATTAGTCTATCTATTCAAAAATCGCATCAAAATTCGTTGCGTAGTTTTAATTTAAGCATACACGTATACGTATTAGCCTTATATTTGATTTTTAACTTTTAAAAGTTTTTGTTACTATTTTCATTCTAGATTCTGTCGAAAAAATATATCTGTCAGTGAGCCTTAAGATATAAATTACAAATCTCATGCAGGTAGCTCTATAGCTGTTACATGTTTTAAATTTGTCGCCTTTTTCGACTACTATAGTGTAGCATAGTTAATATGAAATGGTCTATGACCACCGTTCTATACTCTGTGCCTTTTGCGCTTGTCATCTTTCTCTTTGCAATACGCATCCATACAAACATGTTGTAAATTCTCAAGCTACTAAATAAAACTATTTATATCTTTCAAATCGTCGTTTAATTCATCAGGTTATGGGCCCAGGATGCTGAAACATTGAAAGATAAATTAAATTCCGTGAATAGTTTTGAGATTGCATATAACTCACTTTGCAAACCGGCCTGACATCGATTTTTCTAGAAAATTATGGGTTCGAACAACATGAACAATATGACCCTGATAGAAAGATTGACCGGCAGAGATAATTTTGCAAGCTGGAAGTTCGCAGTCAAGACGTATTTGGAGCATGAGGATCTGTGGGAATGCGTATCAGGCACCGGTGAGGTCGATCTAAAGAAAGACGTCAAGGCGAAGTCAAAAATAATACTTCTAGTTGATCCCATCAACTATGTCCACGTTCAGGAAGCCAACAGTGCTAAAGAAGTATGGGAAAAGCTCTGTAAAGCTTTTGATGACTCGGGGCTGACACGTCGAGTTGGATTGCTACGAGACCTCATAACGACAACACTAGAAAATTGTCAAAGTATTGAAGAATACGTGAACAAGATCATGACTACGGCACACAAGCTTCGGAACATCGGGTTCAAGGTCGACGACGAGTGGCTAGGCACGTTGTTACTTGCGGGACTCCCTGATGAATACAAGCCAATGATTATGGCAATAGAAAGGTCCGGTGTGGCCATAACAGCAGACTCAATTAAAAGTAAACTGTTACAGGAAGTGAAAAATCGTGATCCAGGTGTATTCTTTGTAAACAAGAGCAAGAATAATAAGCAACCTATCAAACAAAAGTCAAAAGGGCCAAGATGTTATACTTGTAACAAGTACGGACACATCGGCAAAAACTGTAAAGTGAAGAATAACAAGAAACAAAGTGATAACTCTTTTGTAGCCGTTTTCTCAGCAACATCTAGCTATGATTTCGGATGGTATGTGGATTCAGGCGCAGCAATGCACATGACAATGAATAGGGCTTGGATTTATGATGAAAAACCACCACCAATCAAAACTATCCGAGTAGCCAACAACAAGGAGCTGCGAGTCGAGTCCTGTGGTAAGTGAACATTCATGTTAAAAGCACAAACGGATCTACAAACAGAATACAGGTAACAAATGTCCTTTATGTACCAGAGTTATCAACCAATCTTCTCTCAGTCAGTAACATTGTGAATAATAAATGTAATGTAAAGTTTGACTGTAAAGGCTGTTATTTGTATAATAAAGATAATGTTGAAGTTGCAATGGCAACACTTGTTAATAATATGTACAAGCTGAATGTTGTCTCCGTGCAAGCATTTCTGTCAACAACTAATGATGACTTTTATCTCTGGCATCAGCGACTAGCTCATCTGAACTACAATGACATGAAGAAGCTGAAAGACCACACTGAGGGTGTGAAAATACCTCAGACCAGCGAGCTAACCTGCATACCGTGCATCAAAGGAAAACAGGCAAGGTCACCATTTCCAAGTGAAGGTTCCAGGGCAAGTCAACTGCTAGAAATCATTCACTCAGATATATGTGGACCTATGGAGGTGAACTCTCTCGGAAATGCAAGGTATTTTCTTACATTTACTGATGATTTTTCTAGGAAAGTGTGTGTCTTTACTATCAAATCAAAGTCAGAATGTCTAGATAAATTTAAGGAATATAAGTCATATGTTGAAAATAGACTTAATACTAAAATTAAGACACTACGAACAGATAATGGAACTGAGTACACAAGTAAGAACTTTACTGATTATTTAAAGTTACATGGAATTAAACACCAAACATCAATCCCATATACTCCACAACAAAATGGTCTCTCAGAGCGCATGAACAGAACTCTACTTGAAAAAGCCAGATGTATGTTAATAAATGCTAATTTACAGAAAAATTTATGGGCTGAAGCAGTTAGAACAGCTGCATACATCATCAATCGTTCACCGACGCGAGCTCTGAACTATAAGACACCAGAGGAAGTATGGAGTGGCTGTAAACCTGACTTGAGTCACATGAGGATTTTTGGTTGCCAAGCTATGGTGCAGATACCTCAAGAAAAACTGAAGAAATGGGACGCCAAGTCAAGTAAGATGATTTTTGTAGGATATTGTGAAGATAGCAAAGGGTACAGGCTACTTGATCCTAAAACAAAAATAGTAACTAAAAGCAGAGATGTTGTGTTTCTGGAAAATTCCATAAAACCAGATACAGTACCAGTTACCTTATCTGATGCTGAAAGACAAGAACATGTAAGCAGTAAGAGACTGTCTGAAAGTAGTGACTGTAGTACAGATTTGTCTACTCATACTGCTGTGGAAATGAGTGAAAATGAT